AAAGGGAAAAGAACTACTAAAAAATATGCGAGACTGAACGGCCAGACACGAGACACGTTTACCTGGGTGCGCGGCACCTGCCGTCGCAACGATTGATGAAATTAAAAGGTATAAATAAAAATCTTTTTAATGGTCTGGGGATTTGGAACTTAATTTTTTAATTAAACAAGCAGCAGCGGTAGCAACAGCAGCACCAGCTCCAGCAGCACGGGGACAAACGTTGATAACTGAATATGGCTGCAAGGGGCGCAGAGAGAACTGAGCTGCCTGAGATACGAGCTGCAGCCGTAGGCAATCCGGACTGGGACATTTATGCAAAGCAGCCACCGAGTTGGCTTTCGTGGACCTCGCAGCCACTTGTGTGGTCCAAGCTCTACACGGTTTGCTGGCAAGGGCCAACAGACAGAGCCATCAGGCAGGGCCACAATCTGAGCCTCATCGAGAGAGAGCCTGTTGCCTGGTCGGCCTGGCCGGTCATAACTGTGTGTTTGCCTTGGGTAAGGCTAGCGCACATGCTTCGCTTAACCCTTTTACTGTGGCCTTAGCTGCTCCCCGCCCACAATAACATGTTAATGCTCGACTCCTGCGACAATGTCAAATGTCAGCACATGTCATTTGTCATGTGGAGCCAGGCTCCGTTGGTGGCCAGCTCTAGCTATAGCTTCTTTCGGCTTGTCACCTGGCCAACATTTGTCACTAGCCTGGCCTGCTCTGGACCACCTATCCACTTGCTATAGAGCCATTGAATTGTCTGCTTAACATGCTCGGAGGCATGTCTATCCCGAGGATCCCTTTTTGCAAGTAATACCCTATGTCGGCAGAGGCAATGATGATGATCATATTTATTGTTGCTATCTACTCCGATGCTTCTTTACAACAGGCCTGCAAAGTGACAGCTGCTGCATACAGCTGTGGGCACATTCTATAAGCTATTAGGTATTCAGGTTATTAAATTAAGTTTTTATATAAAAGAACATGTCGATTAGAGTGTAGATTGCTTACAAGTTTACAATTGGAAACAGTGAAATAATAAAATTAATAAAAATTAATATTTTCAGATTTGATCTGAATCTGTGAACAAGATAATCCATCAGCTTAGTTGTGGATATTTTGGTTTTTGGAGTATATCAAGAGGAGCTCTGCACAACTGTTGATGCTTTGCTATGTTACCTAAGAGCGTCGATATATCTAAAATGTTGTTAACTCGAGTTCGACATATGAAGGCTTAGTGGCTGAGGGACACATAGACGGATAGCCAGAGAGAGATTGAACAAAACTAATATACTTTTTTCACTAAGCGAACGGGTGTTTTAATCTGTTTTCAAAGCAGATCCCTAAAACAAATCACTGAAATATGTTTATTCTTTTTTCTTGTCCTAGTTGTCCTAGAATTTTCGTTTGTTTTCGTACAAAAAAAAAAAAAACATATTTCTGTGATCTGTTTTTGTATCTGCTATGTTCAGTAGCTTCTGAATGCAATTTTACTGTCAATCAACTGTCTTTTGGACTTAAGGAATGTTAAATTAGATATTCAATGTATTTATCCAAATAAATAAGATTTTTATATTTAAATTCAGATCAGTTTATTTTTTTTTAAGAATTAATAAAACTTTGAAATTCAAATTTTGAATTTCAATCAAAAATGGTTCGGTTGACGATAACGATGCTAAGTGGAATATTTACTTATACTTCATCTATGGGCAGGGAGTCATCCATGTATTGGTATTATCTGAAAGATGTTTCTGTTCTTTGCACAGCTTTCAGCATGCCATTCCCTCCTTTGATCTCGTTTCGAATGCAACCCAGTGAAACTCATTGAATATTATTGTTTTTTTTTGTTTTGATTTAGATATAGTTTTTATTTATACGATTTCTCTGCACACGTTTGAAAACCAAGAAAGATGCCATAAACGAAATAAAACTGAATTAAAAAAGGATAAATAAATATAATTATTGTCTTTGTGTTTCGATTTTTGACGCTCTTTATTCATTTATTATTTTGCGTTACTCGTTTCAATACAAAGAAATGCAATTAAATAGGCGTTTATATAGGAGTATAGAGATAGAGTAAGTAGTTTTTAGAGAGAGTATAGATGTGTGTGAATGTGTGTGAGTGTATGTGTCAGTGTGTCAGTGTGTGTGTTGTATGCGTGTTATACATGTGTTTGTTTTATACATAAATAATTACAATTATGCTGCGGCTTAGAAATAAACAAATTACAATTTACAATGCAAAATGCAAAATGCAAAATGGCGGCAAACGGGGCAACTAAATTACAATTATTAAAATTAAGTGCTAAAATTATTTAATTAGTATTAAATTGAAAAAAAATCCAACAAACAAACAAAAAATAATAATAGTTGTGGTGCAAATGAATTTACAAATGACGAATGAGCAGCGCTTGCCTGGCTGGGCTGGGCTGGGCTAGATTTCTTGTTAAATAAATATATATAGCCGTAGGAGTAGTACGAATGATATATAATAAAGATTTTCTTTTACTTTTACTTTTTCGTTTTCGCTTTCATTTGAAGTTTTCGTTTTCTTAGCATTTTTCAATATTTGTTTTCGTTTAACATAAAATGTTAAATTACAGCAACGCGCATATAAGTACAGTAGTTCAATTTCAATATCAATTTCAATTTCAATGTCAATTTTTTTATTTAAACATTTTTTTTAAATTTTTTCAGTATTTTAATTTTTTTTCTGGTTTACTGTATGTGTGTGTGTCTGTGTAGTAGTTGTTTCAATTTATGTTAATGCTGCTGTCAAATGTCTAGTTAGGTAATCATAGATTGATTTTCGTTTTATGTTATAAATCGACTTCTGCTTGTCCTTCGTCTGGCTCTTAAGTACACTAATTAAATTTTTCACCTAAGCATTTTTGCATTAACTCTTTCATTATTGTTATTAGTGTTTAATTTACATTCAGACATATTGCTACATATAAACTTGACGCGCGTTTTTCTCAGTGTTTTGTTCAATTGCCTTTTGTAATTCTTTTGTCGTATATTTGTTGTTATTAAATTTTGTTTATGTATTTGGTTTGCTAATTTGTTTGAACTATTTACGTTTTGTATTTCATTATGTTAATAATATATTAATATAAATATACGAGAAACAATTGTTGTTTATATATATATATATAAATAATTTTATATATATATGTAGAAAAGCAGCAGTTGGTTTCGTTTGTTTTTCCTTTTTATTTTGATATTACATTTATTTAGTTACATATTTAATTAATAAATATAACGTTTATTCAGTGTGAATTTTGGTGTTTGTCGCTGTATATATATATATACATATATATATACCATAAGATTCATATACGTTCCATATATATATATTTTTGTTTTCTTTTTCTTTTAGTATTTAAAATTTTCAATTTTTAATTTTTTTTCTTTTGCATTTCTTTATAACTAGTTCTTGACTCTTCTAAGTTTTCGTTTAGCTCAAATTTATTTCTTTCAAAACTATTTTTGTTTTATTTCAATTTTTTGCTAAGCTTCAAAAATGTTTTCAGTATTTTTAATTGGTATTATTACTACGTGCCGTAATTTGAATGTTGTGCAACACTGTTTTTTCTCCAGCAGTGTTGTGCAATTCAGCAGCTAAACGCGTTTATCCATTTGTTTTTAAAAATTCGGTTTATTTTTAGTTTTGTTTCGTTTTTTTTTTTTTGTTTAATTGCGCCAATTTATTTTTTACTTGTGCCTATAAAATTTAATTTTTTTATATTCTTTAAATTTAATTTTTAAATTTTTTGTGGTTTTTTATACTTATTTTTTTGGAAGTGTTTTGCTGTGCGAATTTGTTGTTTGTTTTGCTTGCGTATGAATTTAAAAAACATTTTCATTAAATTTGTTTACTAATTTGCCCTTTTGTTTTTTGATTCCTTATAAAATTTTGAAAATATATATTTATGCGTATATACTTATTTTTGTATTTAGTTTTTCACTTTATATATTTTGTAATCTCATTGCTAATAAATTTAATTGATTTAGTAAACCAAAGTTTCTATTTGTTCTGCCCTTCAGTGCATCTAAACAATTAATTATTAAGTTGTATCTTTTGCTGACATCTTTAAATGTATTTAATTTATTTTTCTTCATGCAACTTGCTTTAACAATCTTCAGTTATTTTCTTGGTTTTTTGTTATTAATATAGCACATACTCGTAAATAAAAATCTTATTGTCTTTCATTTATAACTATGTATGCAGTTCTGCGAGTTCTTCCATGGAACTGATTTGCTTGACTTTTGTTTTAAGAGCTGTGAGTGTATTTCTTTTTCTTTTCCTTTTTTGAGGCCAGTCGAGTGAGTTTTGTTATAAGCACAGCTCTAATTACCAGTGTAATTACTAGATTAAGAACGTAATTAAAGCAATTACATGAAGTAAAGTTTATGATACAAATCTAACGATTTATTTATTTTTACTTGAACGCCAGAAAATATTATGGTATTGGTAAGCATAAATTTGGAAAGCAATAATTTGATTTAAATATTTAAAAAGGCTTTAGTAAGTGTGAAATGTAATTACCGGTAATTAAGCTAACTTCATCTAACGCTTCGGCATTCAATTTTGATGTATTGTGGCCTGAGTATATATATCTTGTTTGCTTATGTGATTTTAGGCGTATGTGTGTGTGTGTGTGTAGCTCAGTGATACATAGTGGTTGCAAAGCACTCACTGAGTTGTGGCATCAAAGTTTGTGGCCCAAGCAACTTTGTATATATATATATAATTAACTATATATGTATATATATGTCCCATATATGCAATGTATGTATATGTATCAGTTCATTATATAGTATATCTATCAATTTATATATATATTTTTTGTTTAATGCATCATTATTGCTTGAACTTACGTTCACATTCATTTTTTTTCATTTGTTGCCATAAATTCTTTGCCCTTTAAACTGGTCGAAAACAGCTTACGAATATGTCGATATATATATAGACATATATATGTATGCTTCTGACAATATGCATATAAATATATATATATATATGTCTATATATATTTCGATTGCCAGTCCTACCCATTGCCATTGCCATTGCCCTAAAGCCCACATTTTACTGCTTGCTAATTACTACGCAAAGCTGCGCAGTCGCCGCTGGCTGCGCTGCTGCAGTCGACGTCGCTCATTGTTAATCTTGATCTTGGCTATGCGTATGGACTCGGGCAGCACGGATGTAGGCGAGGTGGCCAGAAAGCCACTGACAAAGGTCAGCCGACTGTTGCTGTTGCTGTTGCTGTTGCTGTTTGTAGTGGTGTTGCTGCCGCTGTCGTCTTCATCGTTTAAGATATCCTCGAAAACATCGGGATATACGCTAATATTGTCCAGATTATCTATGTCAATATCGCCCGCCTCGTTGCGCACATAGGTTAGCTGATGATAGGGTGTGGCTAGCAGCTTTTGTGTCGATTTGCGGAGCGATTTTTTTGTGGTTGTTGTTGTTGCTGTCGTTGTAATTGTTGCTGTTGCTGTGGGTGCTGTCTCGGTTAACGTGTTATTTGGATTGCTGTTAATGTTCTTGTAGACACTAAACAGTTTGTCTGTTATATGTTGCTGTGGGGTGACAACAACAGCAACAGTGGCCGCTGCTGCTGCTGCCGCAGCCGCTGCTGTTACAGTTCTTGGGGCAGCTGCTGCTGTTGCGAGTGGTGTTAACAATTGCGTGCTGGACGTGGTCACGACTGTTGACGGACGCAACAGTTTGTGTAGTTGCAACTGCTGTTGCTGCTTGCTGTTACTGTCCCGCAGCAACTGTTGCCGCTGATCGTTTGGGTTGGCGCTGTTGCCGCGATGCCTGCTGAGCTTATGCGTGCTCATCGCCAAATCAGGCCTGGTTGCCGCTGCTGTTGTTCCGTTTGTGGTTGCTGTTGCTGTTGCTGTCGCGTTGCTCGCAACAGCATCTACCTCATGCTGTTGCGTTGTATGCCATTTGTTGTACATAAGTGTAGCCAATGTTGCTGCCAGCGGTGTTTGCTCCAGCACCAATTGTGTTCCAGTTGCTGCTGTTGCTCTTGTTGTTGCTGTTGTTGTTGTTGTAGTTGTTGCCGCTGTAGTTGTCGAGGTAGTTTTAGCCACTTGGCTGCTAGTTGGTGTAGTTGGTGTAGTTGTTGTAGTTGTTGTAGTTGCTGTAGTTGCTGTTGCTGTCGCTGCTGTTGCTGTTGCTGTGGCTGTTGCTTTGGTTTCGTCGCTAACCGTGGTCTGATTCTCATTTTCGTCATATTCAACCACCTCCGCCTCGTACTGTAGCAAGTCGGTATCGTTGCCGCTGCTTGATGTTGCTGCAGTTGCTGTTGTTGCTCCTGATGTTTCAGTTTCGAGCTCTGTAATGAGTGTCGATCCTTCATCGTAGTTGCTGCTGCTGCTGCTGCTGCTGCTATATTGTTTAATACTATCTTCAGCTGTTGTTGTTAGCAACGTGGTGCTGGCGCTTGGCGTGGTGCTGCTGCTGCCCACACCTGGCGTAAAACTATCAATTGTAGCTGTGGGCGTGGCATACCAAGTAGACCAGGGCTCACTGCCGCTGCTGCTGCTGCTGCTGTAGGCATCGTCGTAACCTGTGGATAAACTGGTGCTGCTGCTGCTAGAGAGCATATCGTCCGTGCTGTCATCTAGTGTTGCTGCTGTAGAGAGTAGTTGCAATTGCTGAAGTTGCTGTTGCTGCTGCAATTCCAGCTGCCGCTGTTGTTGCTGCTTTTGCTTTCGTGCCTTTCTTCGTCTGCCCTTGCGCTTGCTGGCAAGTGATGTTTTCGTCGTTTTGGTTGTTGCTGCTGTTGTTGCTGTGGCTGTTGCTGCTGCTGCTGCTGCTGCTGGTTCTGCTGTCGTTGTTGCACTTTTGGCAGTCGTTAGTTTCGTTGGACTAGCTGTGACTCGTTGTTGTTGTTGTTGTTGTTTTTGCTGCTGTTGCTGCTGCTTGCGTCGCTGTTTTCGACGCGCCAGCGCTGAGGGATCATTGTGATGATGTCGCACCTGATGCTGCTGCCGTTGCTGCTGCTGCTGTTGTTGTTGTTGTTGTTTTCGTACTAATGCTAATTGTTGTTGTTGTGTTTTGTTAGTGCTACTTAGACTATTACTACTATTATGGCCATGATGCTCATGTTGCTGTTGTTGCAACTTTTGATTTTGGTTATTCGATTTGTGGCGATTGCTTTTGTTGCGCGAGACTTTGCGATAGTTGCTGCTGCTGCCGCTGCTGCTGCTGGTGTTGGCCATCATTGCTGCCGTCTCGCGCCATTTTGGTAACGTGTGCTGATGGAAAAACTGCTCGGCATCGATCTTATTGAACATGTAGCAGGCATCGTTGACGCTCTTCTTGGGCCCCACGGGCTTACCTCGGTGTGTGAAGCCGACTCGTCGCTGTAGATCGACTACGGAACGGAACACGAAATAACCGTGCACGATGGTCTCGTTGAAGTAGCAGGTATCGCGCAGTTCCTTCTGCAAGACAGAGAGAGAGAGGGAGAGAGGGAGAGAGAGAGGAAGTGAGTTAAAGCGAGATATTAAGCAGGGTAACTTCCCTACACTTGACACTGCAATTTATAAGCAGCATTTCCTGGCTGTATCTGTTAACCTGTCGACAATATTTTGACAAGCAGCTTGCAAGCGAGAGGTTAAGCAGCAGCAACATTGACAGCACTAACAACAGCAACTCTGAGGCTGGAGTGTGTTTATTTATAAAACACTTGAAATTCCAAAACGACCAACCAAATGAAACGCGGCTTGATTGTTGCTGTTGTTGCTGTAATTTCTGTCACGGCTGCTGTTGCTGATATTATTATTGTTGTTGCTGCTGCTGTTGCTGTTGTTGTTGCTGGCAACACCTATCTGACTGCCCAATCTGTTATTTCGTTTGTTGTTCTATTCAAAGTGTTGCAGATGACGCAGATAAGAATTTGTTCAACTCGTTTAGCAATTATGCCATATTTAGTCGTTCCACTTACATTTGCCAACCATCTATTCGCACTACTTCTTGCTATTTATAGCCGTTAATTGCTATTTATGAACAGCTTCTCAGCGGCCACTCAAAGCAACTCGCAACTGTGGCCCCTCAGAAACCAATCACTATTTGTTTTCGCTCTCAATTGGCGCTACTTGCCTCACGCTTTGTTCAATTTTGCTTTGGTTCTAGCTAAAGTGATCCGAGACATTTATAATTATTCATTATTTTGAGCTCTTGAATAATTGATATTTATAACGCACAACTTTAATATTTTTTTCTAAAGTCACTTTTTCTTTTTATACCCTGGGTCCACTGGGAATTCAGGGTATATTGCTTCTGCCAAAATGTATGTGACAGGCAGCAGGAGACATGACAGTCTCTATGAAGTAGATATAACTTTGGTGAGGACGATGAGCTGAGTTGATTTACCTCTCCGTTTGCGACTAGGAACTCGTCTATGTCAGCTAGAGACTTAAAATTTGTTTGAAGGTTCCTCTACAGCAAGCGCAGATCAAGTTTATTTTAAATAAACGATAACTATTCTCATTTTAATGTTATCGATTGAAAACATTATCGAAATTTAGATTAAATTATTTGTTAAACTTTTTTCATTTATTTATATTTTATACAATTTTGATGTTCCGCTTCAAGTTCGACCAATTTCTATATATTGTAGTTCAGTTAGTTTACATCTTTACTAAACAGACAATAGCTGAATAGAATATCTAGTGCATCTACTGAAAATTTCTTTGAAATCCCATAAGTTATTAAGCAATAATAATAAGCAAAAGCATTCTCTATATTCTAAGGATCCCAATTGTGATTGAGTTGTATTTTAATTGTCAGCTATTTTAATACTTTAGCTAGAATTTGGCACTTGAGGCGTCAGCGAGGTCTTTTTGAGTGTACAAACATCGGTCGAGGTTTAGGGTATCTCCTAGTCGGGCACCTCCGACTAAAGTTTTTTTGCTTTTTTTATTATTATTTTTAAAAAATATATTTTAATAAATTTTTTTAATTGTATCTTAAGCAATTAAAAATATTTTTTCTCTTTTATTATCTATAAATTACTATTAAATATTTGCGTTCTTTTGTTTATGTTTAATCGAATCCATTAGGAATAATATAATATAATATATAATAAGACTTTTAGTTGAAACACTGCAGCACTCCAGCTAAGGTATGTTCGGTCCACTCCAAAGGTCTAGCTTTATCGAACCTAATCGTAACCTTAACCTAATCATATGTCACAGTTATTAACCTTCGACAGCAAAGTTGTAAATAAACGTTTTATAAGACTCTATAAAGAAGGCGGGGGAGAGCAATCACAGTACGAGTATTTGCACATAAATTCAAGTTGGGATTTGCGGTCATAATCGAAAGCAATAAAATGACAAGTGCCAGCTTTGACCTTATAGATATATTCACTATAGTCGAGCGAGCTCCATTGTAGTCACACTTTTCATATATGTATTCAATGTTGTTGCTGTTTGCTTTGGCTAACTAACTGTATAAATCGTAATGCGAACTATGAAAGGACATTGAAATAGTTTTGCAATTACAGCATAAAGTGCAGCGTCATTTGATTGATTGATTAGATATATCTATTAAAAGTCATGTACGGGCAACTACACATATATAGACCTGTAAATTGTTGTCTGTCGACAAATACTGAATGATTTTTATGATGGCAAATCTATGCAACGCACTCGACTCTGTGGAGTGTTTGCCCACACGATTGACATTGGCAATAATCTATTTAGCCCGATAACTGTTACAATGTCTCGAAAATGCTCATCGTAGGTGAATTCCCTAAGCAGTTGCAATTGGGCATTACGCAGGGAAAGAGTTCTAAAGTTTTCTTATTATGCAAGCCTCACGCACACGCCGCCGCGTCAACAAAGAGGAAAAACTAAAATGAACATATTTTGTGCCAGTTTCGGTTTTTTACTGCCAGCAATTTGTTGTCTGTGAGCAGTTATTATATTTATGTTTTTGTGGCTGTAATTGCATATGAAATTTCAATATTTTAATAAATAGTTTTTTTACTCTGTTGTCGCGCATTTCGCATGACAGAATTGGTTCAACTGCAACGGGTTTTCGAAGAAAAAACACCACTAAAAATAAATAATAACATTCCAGCAATGGATTGGAAAACATTTGTGCTTGACTGCCTGATGACCTGTAGAAGGAAACGAAAGAGGTTTAGTTTCTCAAATAACTCTTTTGTTAGCTTGTTGTTACCTTGACTAATTAGATAGTGTGACAAGCTATAAGTCTACCTGGTATTGAATTAGAATTTCTAACTGCTTGACATAAACTGAGACAGAGTCATAAATATATGGCAAACAATTTGAAACATAAATAAAATATTAATTTATATTTTACACTCCTCTGAATCTTTTAGTATATAAAATAAATTTACTCTGTATTAGTTACTGCAGCTAAATGACTTTAATGGATTGCGCCTTTTTATTTTCTATACGAACTGTGGGTCAAAATAAAGTTTGTTTTTTTCAATTAATTTTAATTCACGAAGATGACTTTGCTTTTTACATGTAAGCAGCATCTGGCTACATGCGACATATTAATAAGACTGCAAGGTGTAAGCATTGTTGTAGGCAGTCTTGGATTCTAATTCGAAATCTTTAATAATTTTTAATATTTACAGGGTATGCATGGAAAAAATGCAAAAAAGAAAAAATGATTTAGTCTGCTTAGTGTGTGAGGCGGCGCTTAGCGCCCTGTCGCCGAGCTGGCAATTTATGCAATTTGGCCAAATCGCTCAAGTATCGCCATTGTCGTTATAATCGCTCGTTTGCATAAAAACCATTATGTGCTACATGCCATAAATTATAGTGTTTGTACAGTTAGTTTGCATAAAGCGGCGTCGGCGGCGGTGTTTCAAGTACAATGCAATCCAATCCAATGAAAATGCATTGCAATGTAATCAAATTTGTTACAAGGCGCCCGTTTGGGGCCTTGGCTTTAAGTACATATCATTATATTGTGTGCCGCCATAAAGATGCAATTGCTAGGAAATGGGAATGCAGTTCACATTTTACAATTTTCGTTTCGGTTTTGCTTTTGTTTTTATCGCCTAGGAAGCCATAAAGCTAAAGCTAATGTAACAATGTCAACTCATTTGAATTTATCAGCATCAAAGGCGGGAATCCCAAGAGCTTCATGTGGATTGAGTCATTATCAAAATTTGTGCTTTTTATTAGCCATTTGTTCTACTAACCCGAATGTGTTGGGCAGAATTTGACAGATCTTCAATTATTATTTTCTGAGACATATTTCAAATTTAGTTTCATGATTTATATATAGATATATATATGAAAGTTATAGATATATGTTTTTATACCCTTAAAGCATATATATACATATTTATATAAAATTTGATTATAATTGAAAGCCTCATTTAGTTATTCGTAGAAATTATTTTCAATTGATCAGGCTTGCTTAAGTATAAAGTTGGCTGCGGTTGAATATTTTAGAAGTTCTTCTGTGCTGTTATGAGCAGAATGATATTAATTGGAACTGAGGTAATCATTTAAGAACTATGGCACGGGTCAATTAATATTTAAGTGCCAAAGGCCTGAAGGCATTTATAATATGATTTGAATTGCTTAGTTCTATTTGCTTCGCTTAGTGAATGCGTTTAACTATGAAGTCACTGACTGTTAGACGATCTCAAGGTAACTTACCATGCCAACTAATCTCCAGTTGTCGTTGAAACACAAATATCTTTGCGTTTCTTTTGCGAACAGTGCTATTTTGAATTCGTTGTTCACATAGTCCGTGAGGCCGACTATCGTTATATTTTCTGAAAACGAAGAAAAACGAAGAAAAAACAACATTAGACGGATTGCATATGTGTGTGTCTGTGTATCTTTTAATTGATGCAAATATTTGGTTGAAAAAAACATTTTTAATTAAAAGCAAACACGGATGCTTCGTGATTAAGCGTGTCAAAGCGAGCCGAGATCACTCAACTTCAAGGGAAAGATCGGGGGCTGAAGGGACAATGCTGATTTAAATATGTAATCGGAAGGTAATAGCAGTATTTGTTTGTAAACACATCTACGCTGGCACGTGTGCCAAATTCGATTGCACAGTGGGTAAACTATTCAAGGTGATTATTTTTTATTAATAGAAATCATTTTCCAATCGAATACGCCAAGATTGTCTATCAAGTTGGGGCTTCGATCATCATGATCACCATCAATCGTCATCGTCATCCTCATAAATATCGTATCGCATACCTAAGTTAGACCACTCAAACTGCCAGCTTTTCACTGGCTGCCAGTACAACTGGTCACACTGTGCCAAGCAGGCAAGTTTGAGCCTAACAGTGCCAACCGCGCCATACTTGTTGTTTGCCTAACAGTTAACAAACCAAAAGGCGCTTCAATGAGTGCTGCGTTCTAATTTTAAAAGAACGTCCGATGCACCAGCAGCAGCAGCAGCAGCAGCAGCAGCTAATGATTATTATCGGAGGAATAGAAAATGGGGGAAATGCATTAAACCTAAACTCAAGTGCACATGCAGTTGACTGCACCACGCTGCCTCTAGCTGTCTCTCTTTCTGTCCATCTATCTCATTCGCCCTTTCTCCACTAATTATAAACTAACAATGTAACTTTGGCCACGCCCCGATGTAGTCATCGTCGTCGAGGCGCAGGGCTATTGAACTTGCGAGCAGGCACAAAAGTCACTAATAAGTAAAGCACTTGAGCGCAGCCAAAGAAAAGCAGAATGGAGCAGGGAAAAGCCACTCGAGTTAGATTGATAGGTGACTGGGTTCAGCTTCAGCTTCAACAGAAACGTTGGCTGCGTCAGTGACTGCGAGGCGACGGCAGCGGCGACTGCGTCTGCCAGTAATTAAATTTATGCACAGAAATTCCTGGCAAAAGACGTGCGTTGCCAGGTAAAAGGCAGGGAGGTGGGGAAGGGGGTGGTAGAGCATGGAAGGTGAATTGTCCGGGGGCTCTTATTGTGAGCTCTCATATTTCATAAGCCCGACAGGGCCTACGGCCAGCGCGCTTGAGTGACTTTTGTGCTTCACACCTTTTGGCCAGGCCAGCAGGCACTTGCCCTGCGTTTGGGGCCAACCAGTTGGTGACTCCTTCTAGGCAACTCGATGCTCGGGCCTTTTGTTGTTATTCGCATAACTTATTGATTTCATTAGTTTAGTAACACATACGACAATGAGAAACATAGAGACAGACAGACGAAGGGATAGAGAGAGAGGGAGAGAGAGAGGGAGAGGGAGAGAGTGTAGGAATATTCTGAAGTTTGCACTTGTGAGTGCATGCCACTGCACCATCGCCTAGTACCAATCGTTCCACTTGCCGCATGTTTGTTTTGCTTGAAGTAAGAGTTGAGGCTGAAGCTGGAGCTGGCTGGTTCCCTTAGCCAGCATCGTGTCAATTTCGCTTTGTTTATCTTTGGCATTTCCAGTGGGCTCTCAGTGAGCTTTCAATGGCTGCATTCTGTAGATGAGTAATTGTGCTAGTTATCATGAAACATAAGCAGCTCCACGCAGACCTTAGGCAGGTACTGGAAGCTTCATAACAACAATAGAATAATGCAAGTTTAGGTTGCCTGACCCACACTCTTTAAGTGGATACTCTTCTATAGTTTTGATAACTTTTCACAATCTTTTTTAATTTGTGTGTACATATTAAGAGCGATTCAATATTATTTAAACAAACTTAAACTTAAATTTGGTTGAGCTCTCTCAATTTCATTTCAGACATTTAAACATTTTCATTCACTTCCTTCGCAAACGAATAATAATCTAATGGAAAGTCGATTAACAAAATGAAATGTTTATTTTTAATACGTCACGAGGCTACAGAAATAAAACGTAGCCGTTTTTCAGTTTCACGACAAAATCACATAAAATGCATTTATGCTTGGAATTTTTATGGCCATCGATTTTAGATATCTCAAAGATTTTTCGGTTTGGTTCGGTTTGTTTTTCACTCAATAAAAAGCAACGATCGAGTCGGAACTAACTTAACTTTTCAAGTTGTTTTTATTTTCGTTGTATTTTTTCTCTTCTTGTTGGTTTCTAATTAAGTTATTAGTCACACTGTGGAATTTTTTGTTATTTTTTCTACTTCTTCTTCTGCGAGCTGAGTCTTTAATTTATGATTTGGTTCTGTCCGAAATTTCTGTTCGGTTTTAGAATGGGCGTCTCGCCTGTTATCGATATCGAGATCTCTGCACTTAAAATGCATCATCGTAAATGTGGCAAAATAAAGCATTAGTCCAAAGACCTGAAGGCCTTCTAATTGTTAGATGCTATCATCTTAGATTGTTTTTTAGACGCTTTATGCTTATGGCTATGGATCATGGAGGCGGGGGCGGAGGCGGAGGTGGAGGTCTCCGATCGAGTGGGTGTGCACATGTGCGTGTGTGTGGGGTATTTTGAGTATATTTTGGGTGAGTTCTTAAGGGCCAGAGTCGAGCGAAAGTTATTGATTTGTGTTATGAGCCAGAGTGAATCTGCTATTAAAACAGAAATTTTCTATAATAAAAATTAGGAAAACAGACTCCAGTCCATAAGAAAGGTGTATAAAATGCAATCTTCCGTGATCGAAGCTCAGTTAGAAATTGGCTTCGCTTAAGATTTCGATAAATGAAAGTAGTATTAACTTATATATCATGAATATATATGTAAATTATATTTTTTAGCAGTGCATATGATTAGGGTAGATCTTCCAATTTACTATAAACTTACATTCTCGAACATTAAGAACCATAACCTATCTTAAAACCAAATTTGAGTTGCTTTTATTTGACAGCTGGCCATCCAGCTGTGCCAAGACGGGCACTAAAATATTGATATATAATGTCAAATCTAGAAAATCGTAACGAAAACACATTAACTAACAGAACGCAAAGCATTAAGTCGAATCAGTAAAAGATAAACTCAAATCAGAGTTCAGGAAAACAAAAGGCGACAAAGAATAAAGCCAAAACAACACAAAACAAATAATAAACCAAAATGAAATTAAATTAAAAAACAAAAACAAAAACAAAGAAGAAGAAAAGACAATAACAACAAAAGTTTTAATCAAATATGCAAGCAATGAGGCTCATCAACATAAAATTAAAAAATCATAAAATGCTAAACTGCACAGCATGAACAAAATCAAAATCAAAAAAAAAAAAACTAACACCAAAGTCTGATTTTAGTATAGCTGAGTATATGGCCGGGCTCCACAAATCTGACAACAAGCTGGGGCGTCAAAAAGCCGCCTAATTGCGGCACATGTGAGGGGTATGGCTGGGGGCAGGAGTAGCGCTTGGTGGAATGCCAAGAGATTTGGATTTTGATTTTTTATGACCTTACGATGTGCATGTCACACAGCTGGTCACATTGTCATTCCATCAGCGTGATAAGCATCGCCCCCTGCCGCGCCCTCCTCTAGCTCAATATCCAAAACACAAAAAATACACGAGTTATGGATCGCACGTAGCCGCCAGCATTTGAATTTTGATTGAGCTCTGCCTATGAGCCGGTGGGCGTTAAAAGCTCGATAAGCATAAATTGCGGCCTATCGATCGGACTGCATCCATACGCAGCGATCTCTATGATAATTCTTGGAGTATGATTTTGGTTCGATTATAGCTGCCAGCTGCACTTTCACTGATCGAGCGGAAAGTCGAATGAAGCTATTATCGAATGAAGTCCAGCATCGATTGTCTGCATCGCGTAAACCCATTCGATTATTCATGACTCATGATTAATGACTCATAACTCATTTGAAATGCCTTTATTTGTGTTCAATTATTCATGACAAATTGAACTCAGATATTTCAAATTTATCAAGGAAACTGTGTGAAAATTTTTTGGTTAAGTTTAAGCTTCTAGAATGTTGAACGTATAAATTTCTGATACATTTCTTAGGTGGAAAGGATATTCAGTTTATGCAAATTTAATTCAAATTTTAGAGTCATGTTGCAACTGTATAAATGTATATTGAGTGTGGATTGCTGTCTAGAACATTCTTCAATTTGAATACCTTTGACGTGCATTAGTAAAATTTTAGAGAATTTCGTGTTTTCTTTCATGCTCAGTCACGTCGAAGTGGTTTAGGTATTTCTGTTAACGATCCGTTCCAGTTGGACACGGAAAAAGATCGGAAACTATTCCGCTTTGTTTTGGTCAGTTCTTGCAGCGTTTGGCTGGTATCCTTGGTCAGCAGTGCATTGGCCCTATTCCAGGAATGTTGTCTGAGGTCCAGGTCTGGCAGCGACTGCATTCCGGGAACTTTCTCGCTTTGATGCTGACAGCGACTGTGGCGAGGTCTTAGATTACGTACGTATTTTGCCTGCGCGGCTCTGAGTAATTGCTTTTGCAACAGCCACAACAACAACAACAACAACAACAACAACATTTGTCACATGCTGCAGCTCCAACTAGCCGCCGCTTGGATTGGCCATTGGGCAGCCGCGTCTCGCGGCTGGATGCTGCAGCAACTAGTACGACGCAACGTCAGTTATTGACGTTTTGTCACGTTTCCTGGAAAAAAACCGTTTTATTTGCTCGACGCCTGGCTTTGGGTTTGTTTGTAAGCCGATGCCACAAAAGCAAAACAAACTGCAAAACCAACAGCAACAGCAACAGCAACAACAACTACGACAGAAAGGAAAACAAACTTCAACTTGGAGCCGTTGCACTTGCCTGCAGTTCCATTTATCAGTGGGAGCTGAAGACGGCGCAGCCAGAGACTTCGACTGTAGAGGGGGCCCGCGGAGAGAGAGAGTGGAGGCGTATGGGCTCTCAGCATATCTCACTGAGACTCCAAAC